GGATCAGTCCCGTAGCGTACAAACTCCAGTTACCACGAGAGCTCAACAACATCCATCCTGTCTTCCGCGTGTCGAACCTAAAGAAGTGTCTGTCCTATGAGACACTTGTGATTCCTCTCGACGAGATCGAATTAGGCGAGGGTCTACACTTCGTGGAAGAACCTGTCGAAATCAAGGATCGGGAAGTCAAACGTACGAAACAGAGCCGCATCCCGATAGTGAAGGTCCGCTGGAATGCCAAGCGGGGACCCGAATTCACTTGGGAGCGCGAAGATCAGATGAAACAGAAATATCCGCATCTCTTTTTTTATCCATGATTTGTATTCTATGTTCGAATTTCGGGACGAAATTCCCTCTAACGGGGGGATGATGTGACAACCCGAAACTTTTATTCTGTGCGCTTGGTTAACTTTATCAACATTGAACTTGATTCCGTTACCTTTTATCACCGTTTAAGGGTCCTTTTAAGTGTTCTAAGCTTTCATTTGACCAAGGTTGAGTTTAGGAATGAGTCAGCACGTCCCATAGTGAGAAAACCGGGCCATACATCCTCTTGGAAGGTGTGTACGGCCGCACACATGAGTGTACGGCTGCACACATGAGTGTATGGTCGCACACATGAGTGTATGGCCGCACACCCATCCTCCAGCCGCACACTTATCCCTATTTATATAGGGTGACCCCTTCACTCATTCCTTTGATTTGGCTGCACTCTACTTTCTCTCTCTACTTTCTCTCTCTAAAAACTTCATCCAAGAACACTCTCAAGGCCTAAAAAACGTGAGTTTTCCATCACCTAGCTTATCATACACGAAGGACCCATTGATCTAAGCCCTTAATCATCAAAGTTCATCATGTTCTTCATCACATGAAGGTGTACGGCCGCACACCTTCATAAGGTGGCCGTACACGCCTCAAAGAACCTCCAAAGTGAGAGTTTGATTCCCTATCTTCTAGTTGGACTTGGTTTGAACCTTAAAAAGCTGAAAAATCGACTCTTGGAGCATATATGAAGGGTGTACGGCCGCACACCCCTGTGTACAGCCGTACACACGCTTTGTACGGCCGCACACTCCTGTGTGCAACCGCACACGCCACCTGGCCGCACACCCACGACCACACACACTTCATATGGGCCGTACACTTCCCTTAGGTGAATCACATGTGATTCCAACACTTGGTTCAAGTGTTTCCTAGTCCCTAAGGGGGTTCCATTTCATTTAGTTGCTTCTAAACACTATATTCATGGCTATATATGTCTCTAATTGTCATTTAGGATTCGTTGTGTCTCGGTAATTCAGTCGTGGAAATTCTTGTCCTTACGCGAATCTACCTTCGAAACATCTTCCAAAGGTGAGTTCATACCCCTACATTTTACGTGTTTTTAATGTTTTCAGGGGGGGAATACAAGCCAAAATCAAAGTATTTTATTAAGTTTTAAACTTATTAATGCAGTCCAATGATTTCCACGTTAATAACATATTCATATATTTTATCTCTTTTTGTAATATGTTGAGCATAAGGGAAACTACTATTTTGGAAATCTAACTTCATAGCTTTCAGAAAGGTTTTTACAAAGCAGCTCTATATCAACTCTAATAAACTAGAACGGGTATAGTTTGGGATAACCCTCTAGGCATCTCTACCTAATTAGATTTCATAAATGAATATATAAACTATGGCAGATTTAGTTTATGTTTTCTCAGGAGTATAAAGTACTATTATTCAAGGATAATCATTGTTTTATACTGTTTCTCGCTAGTAAACTAGATTATACAGAATTGTGAGGCTTTACTTCAATACTGTACCCTTAGGTGTATAGTGATAAATCCTATCTCAGTATAACCAGAGTCTCCTAGAGGGAGATCGTGAGATTTGTGAATAGATCTATTCGGGACTAACAATCCCACACCAGAACTGCTAGCTACAGTTAGGCGGGCACGCCTGTGGTGAACAAATGTCATTTAGCTTAACGCCTGAAGAACGTTATAAAGGTCTCTCGGTCATATCAAGTATGGTTATACGACTCGCAAATAAGTATAAACTAACTTTGGTTTACGGACTCTACTCTTCACTTGTTTTATTTTGATTAATAAAACTACTTTCATATATATACTGATGGTAATCATGGGTTTTCAAAACCTACATCTCTACCTCTAGGATGAATAACCTGTTTTTAGGGAAAATATAGGATTTTCCCAAGATAACACCGACATTTCTAAAACTGATGGTTTATTTTCTACTAATAGACACTCTATCAAAACCGCTTTTCATAAGAAAATATAGGATTTTCTTGAGGAACACTTTTCAAAAGGATTCAAAGAACAATTTCCACCAAAACTAAAATGCTTATGAACTCACCAGCTTTATGCTGATACTCTTTCAAAACTGCTTGTATTCTCAGAGAATTAGTAAACAGGTACTTCCAGGAGTTCGGAGAAGACGAAGTGTTAGAGTCGCGTCCTTCTATGTTACTTTTGATATGGATAAAACTATGTATTAAACAATGTAAACCTTTTTCACATATGTATTCAATGTCTGGTTGCGTTTACTATGCTTGCTATGATACAATTGTTGTGATACTACGCATGACGTCCTCCACCCCGGAACGATTCCGCCATCACGGTTTCGGGGTGTGACATAGCTGCACCCTCTTGTCCCTTGGCTTGGAAATCTTCTCTTCTCTTCACAAGATGCACCAAACACTCATAAATAGCAAGACACTCTCTCTCTAAGCTTAGATGCCATTTAGGGTTTGCTCTCAAGGAAAGGTAGCCGCAAATGAGGCTATAAATGCCTTTAAATAGGTCCCAAGCCCGGAAGATTAGGGTTTCTCTGCCCAACACCTACTCGGCGAGTCCCTCCTCTGACTCGTCGAGTCCACTCATTAAATCCACGCGAGCAACTCGACTCGACTCGGCGAGTTGGACCCTCAACTCGTCGAGTCTCTCCTTCAATCTCAAGATTAACATACACAATAATATTCCTGAAAATACAAATGTTACATTTAATGTGTGATTTTGGCCTTTTAAGCCCCAAAGGGCTATGCATGGAGGGAAAGTCAAAGACTTTATGTGTTCATATGATGTCTAGGTTCTAATATGCTTTAGTTTGAAGTATTATGGCTTTGGGATCAAGATCTAGGTTTTAAAGAATTAGGGTTTGAGCTAAACCCATTAAGTAGGGCTATTAACGGGTAAAGTTGGAAACTTTACCCTTAAAATGGACATCAGTATGTAGATGAAGTATGGGGATTAGATCTGAAGGATAAGAGCTTAATCTATTAAGATGACTCAACAGACTGAAGAACTCGTCGAGTCGATAGAGGAACTCGACGAGTTGGGTCGAAGTGTCTCGAGTTTGTAAAGGGAAAAACTCGACGAGTTGATTGGAGAAGTCCCGATTCTATGGATAGGAGGAACTCGACGAGTTGGATCGCGATTTCAAGGTTCATGATTCATGGAACTCGACGAGTTGAGTCAACCCAGGATGTTGACTTTGACCATAATGTTGACTTTAATCAGGGTGTTGACCTTGACTTTGACTTTGACCAAAGTTGACCCTTAAGGGAGTTATGAGGGGTAATTAAAGGAAATCTTGTATGTGTAGGAGTTTGAGTGGAGCTGATTCAGAGTCGAGGACAGTTCAGCTACTTCACCATATTTGAGGTGAGTTACCTTTCAGAAGGAGTGGGTCGAAGGCACCAATGTCAGCCCACTAGTATTTGGTTATAGTTGAGATGATTGTCTTTGTGATAATTTTCTGGTTTGCCATGATCTGTTATGCTTTATGTGCCAGTATGTTATGTTATTATGCGATAGTGGTAGGAAGGGTAGGATAGACCCTGTTACCGGTTGAAAGAGACCGAAGGGGAGGCTAGACCCAGATATGCTAGGCAGTTACCGGTTGAAAGAGACCGAAAGGGTAGGCTAGCACCCAGATATGTTACGCAGTTACCGGTTGAAAGAGACCGAAGGGGAGACCAGCACCCAGATATGCTAGGCATTATGTTATTGTATGGTATGTGGTATGATGAGGAAACTCACTAAGCTTTGTGCTTACGGTTTACAGTTTTGGTTTCAGGTACTTCCTCTTCGAAGGGAAAGGAGCCAACATGACTACAGCGCATCACACCAGGATTTCCGCACATGAGATCTTTGGGATTTACACTTTGATGTTGTTTTACCATGACTGATACTTGGGTTTTGATACGAGTTGATATTATGATTATTTTTAGACAAATGGTTTTATAAATGTTTAATTTAAAATGAAATTTTTGGACTGTATTTTTGGGATGTTACAATCAAATCCTATGACCAACACGAGAGAGTTTTTTTTTTTTTTTTGGAAATGACGAATTTTTATTATAAAATCACTGCCTAAAAAACAAGGCAGGGCAAGAAACAACAAAGACAAGATTACACGATGTTGAGAGGAAAGCAACACCAAGTTACCCGGTTACAATTCCCAAACCGCCTTCTATGTTCCACCCAATTGAATACAAGGTTAAGAATATCGTCACTCACTTTTGCCGGGGCAGCACACACTTTTTTGAATAGCCTATCACACCGCGCTTTCCAAATACACCAAATAGCACGAAAGAGTTAAGCCATATTTTTATCAATGTAAAAGACGTTGACATCTGATTTTGAATCAAAAACTTTACTGATGTATTCACACCTTACCTATTAGGACATAAAGACCTATAATGACATTTCATTCAAGTATTCATTACTTCATATGGTTTATATTTTCAAGTGGATTTTGCTATGAATTTAGATGCTTGATAATACGTGTATCCTAAACAATAATAACAAAAATTCAATAATTTGTAAATTAAAACTTTAGTTTAAAAAAAGTAGCTCCAATGATCTTTATCTTCTAAAGATATTAGTACCATAAAACAAAAAGAGGTGAATGTATACTTTAACACGGACGAAGGATCTATCAAAGAATAGGTGATGAAATTAGAAACAATTTTTTTATTTAGAAGCTAAAAAATGCAAAAGGTAATTTATTTTGGACTAAACCTGCAGATCATCTAATAGTATAAGTATCAAATTTGTAATTTACTATTTTGCTCCGGAATATATAAACACAAACAAACTACCGAAAATCGGATCCAATTTTAGGGAGCGAGAGGCGTCAGTGTCATCGGGTATAGCTCTCATGTCAGTTCAGATGGCAAATTTGTTGAAGATTGTGAAATTTACTTGTTCCAAAACGCAATTTCGTTCTCAATATTGATTTGAATGTAGTGAACAAGGCGTCAAACCTTTTAAGAATTCGAATTCGCGAAGTTTTTTTTTCTTTGTAGGTTTTATGATTTAAAGATAGGCAAGGGTACCGATTCTGCATCTCCATTCGCCTGCGTTCCATGAATTACTGGTAATTTCTTATCCCTTCTTTCATTTCTGCTGTTCGGATCTTCTAATTTCTCACATTCTACCCCTGTTTAATCGCGTTAGTGTTATCCAATTTCAGCTTCAGTCGGTTTGATCTATTTGTTTTGCGTTTAATTGATGGATGTGGTTCACGTAGTGAATTGAATTTTGGTTAAATCGCAATGGAAGGATTAGGTCTCATAGTTGTCGATTGAGAGAGAAGTTTTAAGAAAAAAAAATCAAAACGAAGCCTTAAATCATTCATTTAACTATTTAAGGCTTAAATCAATTTGAGAAAAAGTGGATTTCCGTTCGATAAATGTTATATAGACTTCAAATCTGTTCGTTAACACAGATCTATTTCATCCGATTGACAATTGGTTTATTGCTACGCAAACCTGATTATCAAATTCATTTAGATATATGATTATACAATAATTTCGTATGGGTTTTCTTTCAGATTTACAACAAATTGAAGTCATCAACTAAGAGTGGTTCTGTTTGGAGATTGATTGAATCATGTTCAGGCAGTCACCACGTAGAAACGGACGTAACAAAGGGCTAAAAGTGAAACACGTTCTCCAGATCTCATTATTGCTTGGTGTGAGTGTATGGCTGCTTTACCAGGTCCACCATTCAGATGACAAGACACCATCAGTCCCATCAAATATCACAAACAAGCTACACAATGTTGTTAACAAGGACATGATGAGATTGGGTAGAAAAGATCTTAAACCAAAAGTGAAGCAACCAACTGTTTTTCAAGACAAAAAGGAACCCGAAGAACATCAAGTGGATGAAATCGGCAATGAAACTGAACCTGAAGATCTTGTTCATGATCACGAGCGTGAAGAACATGAAGACATGAAGCATGAGGAAGATCATGAGAATGAAGAAGAGACTACAGAAGGAGAACATGACCTGATAAAGATTAAGAAGACTGAGGTGAACAAAGAAGAAGGACAACATAGTGATGGTGGTGAAGAAATCAAAGAAAAAGTGAATGAAAAGGTGAACAATGAGCAAAACAAAGTTATTGTTCTTGAGAAGGAAGATGAGAAGAAGATGAATTCAAGCATGAAAGTTGAGAATGTGTCAAGTGAAGTGGGACCCAGTGTGGATCTTTCAACACTGACAGTGTCAAAGGAGGAAACTATACAACATATGAACACAAGTCAAGATTCAAATTTGATGCCTTCTGTTGACCTCAAGAATGCAGTATCAGTGAATAGAAACTCAGAAGATTCAATGAATTCGAATGGGGAAGATGAGAACCAAAAGGAACAGGAATCAAATGAGAATGAGAATGAGAATAATGAAGAGTCTGAAGTGAAAAATGAGGAAGGTGGTGTTCTAGAAGAAGAGAAAGAAGCTCTTACAGACTTGGGAACATTACCAGAGAGTGGAATAGGAGGAAGCAGAAGCACTGAAAACACAGCTGCAGAGTAGAGTGAGTTTTTTACTTTTTTTTTTTTTTTTAATTAAGTATTTTCAATTTTCTATTCTTTAAGTTCTTATAGAAATATGGATGATTTGGAGCCCTATTTTTGGCCAGTTATTGAATATGGATCTATCCCTATATATTATCGTTCCCTTCAATAATTATTTACCAGCCAAAATAAAAACCATATAAAGTGAAACCTCTATAAATTAATATTGTTTGGATTATGATATTTTATTGTTTTAAAGAGAATCAACTAATATTTATTAATTTAAAGAGAATTTTGTAACTTTTTTAGTTAGCTAACACACACACACTCTAAATGTTACTCCGAAACTGCACTTTTGTTCGCTACTGGGCTAGAACCATTAACCCTTTAAGGAATTTAGATGAACTCATTTGTAAAAACAACATTCTCGAGCTCATTAATTTATGGTCTCAGCTATCACAAGAAAACAAGACAAGAAACTTTGGAATTTGGATGCAATATGAAAAGTTAAAGATGAGTTTAATTAAACTTCAATTTTCAGAAGAAAAAAAAAAGACAATCGGCATCTTATTTATCTTATATCATTAAGAATATATTTGACATGTCACATCTAGCTTATAATAATGTGTTTCAAGAAGCTTAATGAGATTTTAAAATTTTCCCAATACTAAACATGCCCTTTATTAATCATAATAACCATTCAAGATACTCATTTAACTATTTGAATAAAAAAACAATTAAAACATTAATAAACAAGTGAGATCATTTTACATGATTATTCGTAAATCAAAGTACTTTCTATGCTCTAAAGTTCACAAAAGATACCGCTTATTGAAATTAAAATAAGATAAAAACAATTTTATAAACCCATCACTATCAAAATACACCGGCGATGACATTTGATCAAGAGGTCGGTTACATCTCTAATAAGTGAATTCATAAACTATTCAATTTTCATAAATATGTCTTGTGCTTTCTAAATGTACAATCAATGTGTAATTTATTTTTTTAAACTCTCAATAGCTTATTTAATCCAACACACTCTTGAAAAATCTGCTATTGTGGATGCTATAAACTTGTACATGTTTTGCAAAAATATGCGGTTACAAACCAATATCTAAAACACATAGTTATGAAAATTATGTTCAACATCTTCAAAACTTGAGTATTAATATTTTTACAAAGCCAAAGTTCCATATCATGAACTCTTATTTGCCATAAAAGAAATCTCTGAGAAGCAAAGTATAGAAAAAGAAACAATCCATTGAAATGAGGCAAATACAAGTTACAAGTACCAACCTCTACGAGAATCCAGTCTGAATGATAAAAACAATAAACCCAATCAAACAGAAACATCAAGATTGTTATTCTGAAATCTGAATGCCCTTCACAACCTCAATTTGGGCATCAATGGTGTTCCTTAACTTCAAAGAGCCCATCAGGACCTGAAAATTATACAACAATAAAAATTTGTAAACATCAACCAAATTACCAAAGCCATGAACTTTCACTTCACATGCATCAAAACTTACCCCATGGAAACTCCTTGTTACGGATGTGCATGTATGGATATGCCTACACACATAATACAACATCAAATCTTAATAAAGATGAACACCAATGTCATCCTATTACAAGGATGCAAGTTTCATAGAGCAATGGATAACTATTTAAGCATATGTAAAAGCTACAGAAATAACCAAATTTTGAGCTTACAGGTGGTTCTTCGAAATGAGGATGACCCTTGGATAGGTTAACAAATGCAAGAATCGAGCAAGCAGCGATTCCTGCATATGTAATTTTCTCCCATTTCGCCGCCTCACCTGTAAATACACAAGCAAATCCATAAGCCAACATAGCATAGTTTGTCGCCATTTTCGATAATCAGATAACAGAAATTCAAGTAAATTTCGACTAATCTGAAATTCAAACCCTAAAATGCACAATTGTGACAAATAAAACCCTAAATCGGACAAGATGAAATCCTTCAGATCGGAATACTATGCGATTGGACATGACAAACAAGGAATCACAAAAACTAAATCTTAAATAATGGAAGATTAAAAAGTTAAAAGCTTAGAAACTAGAAAGTGTTATTGCATCATAAAGAGGAATAGCAATCTTACGAGCTTCTTCTTCAACCGATGCACCGGCAGAAAATGATCTCGTAGAGGCCGGATTCACGCGAGCGCCACCTCGAAGTGCCGTTCGAAGAGTAGATCTCACAATCGCCGTCGCCATCTCTCTCTATGATTTTTTTTCTCGGACAGACAGACTAATTTTCCGATGGGAATTGTGGAGTTCTTCTCTTCATAAATGGTGGGTTACCGAAGCCACTAGGCCCATTAAGGATTAGAGAATAAGTAAGGCACGTGCAGGGTGCGTGCGAAAAAAAATTGATTAATCATAAAGGCAAAGAAGAGGAAAATGCAAGTTTGGTCGTTTGTCAAAAAAAAAACAGTAAACTTAAATTTGGTCCCTTTTTTGTCATTACAAAAATTGTGGACAGTGGCTAAAATGTTTTTATTAGCACCAATTGGTCCAAAATATAATTATTATTGTTATTGTTTTTTGTAGTTATGGTCTCGTTCAAGCCTCAAAAAATATTATTTTATCATTTTAATTTGTTTTTATATTAGTATTCATTTAATTAATTAATTTATTATTATTATTAAAAAGTTAGTTTCACCATAATATTTTTTCTTATTAAATTTTTTGTATCTCAAAAGACTTTATTTCTTATGTATTATTTATTTTGTAACATGTACTCAGGATATCAAAAAGAAATAATAGTGATTTAAATCACTAGCAAAGACTTTTAGCACATTAGATCATAGAAATCATTTGATGGTTTCTTTTAACATGTAAATAATAGTTGTAACTTGTGATTGCTTTTCTATTGTTGTTGATGTTTTGATTTGTAACCACCATAGTCGACTTATAGTCCAAAAATAACTTTTAAAATGATCAAATTTATATAAAGCATAAAGACTTTATTGCAAATAATGTCTTTTTTGTATTTATTGAAAATGTATAAAAGATGGAGTGTTATAGTTGTAGGTGAAGGTTTCGTTTTAACTCATTCCCTTTTTGTCAATGATGTCATTTTTGTAAATTTGTAGGTGAGTGGTCATACCAAAACACGATAAGTATTGTTCACATTTTGAGTTGCTTTTATCTTCACTGATACCTTTTTACTAGTTTTCAACAACATTCTATCCTTTTGAAAATTATTCACCTTACAAACTTCTATACGAAGAGACTATAAAGATATGACCATTTAGATGAAAGCAACAAACACAAATGTTGTTGAGGACTGAGGAGTGTCTCTTATAGAAATGAACAAAAATCGATGATGGTATAGTACTACTGTTAATGCACTTATTACAAGTATATTTCTACATCTAAATAGAATGAAATTGTCAGCAAATGCAATAGTATGAGTAATGCCTTTTCAACACCGGCTTTGACCCTCTCTAACACAACTGTAATTGTTGTACTCAAAGTCAAACAAATAATCCCCACCACCACACTCGTTTTCAATCTCAACCGTTCGATCTTCCTCCATAGTCAAACAACCAAGCGACTCCATCACATCACCCCTGCTCCACCCCGCACGCAATAACATCCCCGACAACATCCTAACGTAATTTACACCGCCGCTCTCATCATCAGACGATGATGACCACGACGACGGAGACGGCGCCGGCGATGAAGATGATGATGATGATTTCTCATCTCCGCCATTCATTTCCATCACCATCATCATTTCATCTACATCCGCCTCTTTCCACCCTCCGTTTCTTAACTTCAACCGAACATCCTCCAAAAACCGCCGCAACTCATTCCCTCCCCACCACCTCTTTTCCGTTTCTCCGCCATTGACCGGAGTAACACGGCGGAGATCAGTTAACTCCGTCCAAAATTCTATCGTTCTGGACTCCGTAGCCGCCCATAACGGTACACTTAAAAAATGACCCAAACTCCTCGGCCTCAGCACCCCTCCTTTGAACTCAGTCTGCTGAAAGAACCCAACGACGTCGTAACTCCACAACCTAACATCCAAACCGTTCACGTAAAAGATCGGATTTCCCGCCACACAAGGGATCGTCGGGATATAACAGTTCCGGTAAACCGGAACAAGAACCGGGACATATTCCAAGAACTGTTTAGCCAATTGAACAGCATCATCATCTTTCTCCGGCCGATTACCCCATCGGTTATCCCAGAATTTTCGGCGGTGGACCTCCTTAAGAACTCCCAAGATTGGGAGGTTAATCAAGATATCGAGTTGTTGGGCGGAAGACGATCGCCAGTTGGGAAATCCTTGGCCAACTGGGAGGCCTTCCCGGAGAATGGAGCGAAGGTCAGGAGGGAATGCGAAATTGAAGGAGGCTTCAATGGCGGAGAGCTCTTGTTGGGTGAGACCTTGGTCGATGGGAACGTTGGAATGGTGGTGGAGATTGGCGATGAGGTCTTTGGAATAGGCGGCGATGGAGAAACAGACTTTGGTTTTCCGTTTGACTAGTGGGTCTGTTATGGTGGTAGCCGCCATGAATTTGATCGGAGATGAGTTTTGGCGCATCTGAGGGGAAATGAAGAAGTCGTCGCCGTGGAGTGAGAGGGATTTGACTTGAATAGAGAAGAGAAGAGAGAGATAAAAAGTACGTAAACGTATGAGTGAAGTCGCATGAAAACTGGAACGCTCTTCTTCTTATTTGCATTATATATATATATATATATATATATATATATATATATATATATATATATATATATATATATGTTTTTATTTATAACATTGGTCCATCTTTTATTTTATTATATTTAATTGAAGGTATTAATGGTTTCAGTTTTTTCAGTGTTTGATTGAAATCATAAGTTAATCCAAATGAATCCATGAAATATGCCCCGGAATCGTGTTGTTTAATTTGGTAGCTACGCAAAATTCTTTATATTTCTTCATGCCGGCATCCCATTTTATCAACTATTTTCATTTTTATTATCTTATGAAAACAAATTTTTCAAAACAGAAACAAACGAAAATTAAATCTATATATTATAATAGAATCGAAAGACAAAAAAAATTATGTGATTGTTGGTTTACAACATATTAGAAACTCAAAAATGTGCAGACTACAGGGTGAGGCCTACTAACCCATTTCCTAAAAAGTTTCCTAAGAGAGAAATTACTCCGAAACGGGTATCTCTTGAGAATACAAAATTCAATTGTTGAACATATTTAGATTTATAAATGTTAGTTGGATTTTGATTTTGATTTATATTAATTCTTTTCCAGTTATTTGTTTTATATCATTCTTTTAAGTTGAGTGTAAGATGATTATCATTTTGGATTTCCCGACCGCGCCAAATCATCCACACAATGTTCGTACAATCGTACCCTGATTGGTTAATCGAAAAAATTATGTTTATTTAATTTATCATACAATAAATTCTCAACATGCTTGCGAACAGTTGAGCCGTTAACTTTTTTGGCTTCTGATCGGCTTCTCCTTTTTTTTTTTTTTAACCGGCTCACTTTTGTTTTTACTGTTGGCTTGAGGGCTAAATATGCTTAGTCATCGGCTGGTGATTCATGTTCTCCTATCATCCTCTCATCTGCATCACAGCCTGCCACCACCTCTGCTTCACCACTTCACCAACAGTGCTGGCACCGGCGGATACACAATAGATCCCGGGATACCCCTCAAAAAAAATTCGGTAGTATAACTTTTTTAGAAATATTTCGTTTTATGTAGTGTAAATATGCATAATATTAATATGTTTAGCGAGATAATAACACAAGATGAAATTGGTTCAGATGGTTAAGGCGTTAATGGATGTTTCTTGAGGTTGCAAGTTCAAATCTTCTTGCAAACATTTATTTTTGCAGCTCCTTTTATATAGCTTTATACATATTATACCTATTATACTATGATGTTGTGAAAATCAAGCACAAGTATTGAGTTGTCCAAGTGGTTAAGTGTTGAACTTTTAAGTTTGAGGTCTCTATTTCTAATCTTGGCTGTTACATTGGTCTATTTTATTTTGTTTATCAAATTTTCAACTTGTTTTTAAAATTTTAAAATTGTTCCACATCGGTCATAACATGAAACATAGCTCATATACATCTCTTATATAAGCAACACAAACTTCTTAACTCTCAACAAGTTAAACTTTTGAATGAGTTTGGGTTTAAACCCGAAACCGAGTTTGGAAAACCCATAAATCGAACCCGGTTTGGGATACCCCTTTACTTTGAACCTGGCTCTGCCACTGAGTGCTGGTATTGAGATAACAGATGGTTTCAAGCCGTGTCTTCCTCGATTGTGCTTCCCACCGCTTCTCTTTGCTTCTGATTAAATCCTAAATCCATCTTCAAACATCTCCAATTTTCTTCCTGGTTTGTGTTTTTCTTCTGTTAGACCCGTTCCTCGAATTTATGTCTTTGCTTTCACATTTTCACTGTAATTCTTCTTCTATTGTCTCCCGAATGCCAAATCGAGGTAGAGATCGTCGATTAGGGCATGGAATAGAACTGGAGCCTTTCTCAAATTTTCGTCTTGCCGCGATTGAACCACAAAAAATCCAACCTTCGAACAACACATTGAACCCTAATTAATGAAGGATTTTGTTGAGGTTTCTTTTGATTCTTCTTCATTTCGACGACTCCCAGTGTGCCTAAATTCAACCCATATGTCTCCCCTGTATCTGCAAGACACCCGATGCTACTGTCTTTGGAAGAATGGAAGCCAATAGCCCATTTGATGCTATCCTCATTCAGTCCAAGAATGTAAGAACATTTGATGCTTGTTAAATAATTTAAGAATTTTGAGGTGAGTTAGTTCCTCCATTTTATTTTAAATTTGTATGTGTGTTGATACTTGATTTTGAATCATAACAGGTATAATTGGTTAGGATAATCTTGATTAAGCTTTCCTGATATGTTCATATGAAGTTCTAACAATATAAACAAGGTTTGTTTCTTAATTGGTGTTTATTTAGATAGAAATAGAGATAGAATTCCATCCAGTCCTTTTTCATCCCTTCTAACGCTGTAGAATGTAGATCTGGTACCCAAGAGCTGGAAAACCACGTAAAGTTGCTAACTTTACGTCCATGCATGACACCAAGAGGCTAAAACACTCAAATATGGCTTAACCAATGACTTAGAACATGAAGGAGGCCTAGATCTATATAAAGCTTGAAACTTTAAGCCCAAGGAGGCCACAAAATGTCCAGATATGAAGTGGCAACTTCAAGAAATGACCAAACCCACGAATGACTCCAAAATGAACAAAAAATGACAATAAACTTCCAAGGAGGAGATCTAAGCAATAAATGATCAAGGTATTGACTTTATACCTCAAAATGGTTGCAACAATAGAGAAGATTCTGGATCTACAACCTTCCTCCCAATCAAGCCTCTTCAAACTCCAAGTTCCTTCCAAGAGAACACCAAGAAACACTCCTCAAGCTCTCACACACACAAAAATGAGAGAGAATGCACGAACTAGGGTTTTCTAGATAGAGGGGGCGGATAAGGAGGCCATCCAAATGCCATAAGGACTTTAAATAGGGTGCAACACCCTAAAAATTAGGGTTTCATAATCAACCACCAACTCGTCGATTTTTTCTTCACAACTTGTCGAGATGGTAAGCTTCCAATACGTCGAGCGAGGCCTTCAACTCGACTAGTTCCAAAGGGAAATTATCTTTTTAAGCCATAAATCTCATACCTGGGAATCAGGATGTTACAAATAACAGTGTGGGTATCTTGGGGTATACTTTCTTGCTCCGGATGATCGTACACATCTCATCCTTCCTTGGTTACTTTTGAAAATAATTTTGAAAACAATTTGAAAACCTTTACAGATCCTTAGTTTGAGTCTGGATTTACACGAATGCTCATCCAATTCTCTCAAACCAGGGCTCTGATACAAACTTGTAACATCCCAAAAATCAAGGAAAAATTTTCATTCTTAAAACCATTTTAATGAATTCATAAATATTTCAAATCATTGTTCCAAAAGCCATAATCGTTAATTAGAGTATCCCAAAATCATCTATCAATAAAATATCCAATGATGATGTGCACAATCACACCTTCGCCTTGCCCGATCATCTGATGTACTTGAAACCATGAAATCAAGTTGTAAGCCCAAGCTTAGTGAGTTCCCCCAAAAGTACCACACACAACCATACAGATAACATCATGCATACATGAGTCTTCAACTTGACTGGACCGCCTAGCAGGCCTACAACCTATCTGGACCGCTCCCCGAGCCTTTAGCCTGATTGGACTGCCTCATCGGGCCTACAACCTATCTGGAGTGCTCTTCGGGTCTTCGGCTTTACTGGACCGCCTCACAGGGTCTACAGTCTATCCGGACCGCCCCGGGTATCATGACCTTCAAGACAAAGCAGGACTGCCTCAACCCAACAATAACAATAACATGTCGACATATACAATAACACTCAATAGAAATCAAATACATGTAATCATACAAATCTACCAATCTATCACAGATCCTGTAAACACGGGTAATCATACACATCTACCAATCTATTACATATCCAGTAAACACATGTAAATATACAGATCTACCAGTCTATCATATAAGCAACATAACATCATCCAATATACCAGGATACATAATCTAGTGGGCTGTTATTGGTGCCTTCAACCCACAAGTACATTGAAGAAAACTCACCTGAAAGTGCCAAAAGTAACATTCGTTAGTAAAATATCCGTCAAAAACAACCAAAACTAGCATCCTTCTTCCGTCAGTAAAAGTATTTGTTGTTATCCTTTCGAAAATAGTCAAAACTTAAAGCCATTAGAAAAAGCATATGATGGTATGCTGTCGAAAATACGTCGATGACTACTAACGGAATTTTATGTCGGTAAATTGTCAAACAATCCATCGGAAATTTGTTACAAGCTATATTTTTCGGTGGAAAATTTTCTATCGGGATTATATTGGTAACAAACTTCTACGACTGAATTGACGGTTGAAAATCCATCTTTTTTTGGTAGTGTTAGGTGTTGTTTCTTTTTGACTTAATGCACTTAATATATAAAATACTTAATAAATTCAGATATATATGGTTGTTTCTTTTTTTACGTAATATTAACAACATATCTTTATAGGTTAAGTTGAGAAAGAGGTGTCCTTAAAAATTAAGTGATGTTTTTATATTTTTTTTTCCTAAACTACCCCTTTCACAAATCACATGTCCTTAATTAAAAGTAGTTAATTCCTTTTTACAATTATGTTATTTTGTTAATCTACCCTTCGTTATCTTTATTTTCTTCTAATCTTGTTCTATAATTTATTTAACTAAATTCTTTTACATTTTGTTTTGAATAAATGCTATTTTGTTAATGTTTTGTCTGATTCTAAAAATTGAAGCTTTTTAAAAGAAATTAAAACTATATATTTTTAAATTTATATTAACAATCGGTCAATATGAATGATTTATTTGATTAAAAATGGATATGTTTTATTTCGATATAAACCCAAAATCCTAAGTACAAAATCAAATTAAAACAAAAAGATTTATTTTCTGAATTTATTTTTA